AGCCTGTAAAATAAATTACTTTGCACTCCTGCGGGACAGCAGCTACTTTGTCCCYGCTCATACTAAGTCAGATTTTTGTTTCTTATATATTAACACATGGATTTTTTTATTATTATTATTATTATCTTAGCAGGGGGGGAAGCTCTGGAGCTGCTATGTGAGATGTGATTTAGCGACCTGGATTGAACGTTGCTTTTTGACGTGTTATTCCATGGAGGCATCACCTATTGCYATCGGTTATCCGCCTGCCTTGGTGGAGCTGCATGAAGGGGCTGGTTCGGGGCTCACCATGGGCACAAAAGAGCCCTGCTCCTGCCAAGAACTCGGAAAATCTGCTCCTCTCCCACAAAGGCTGAACCTCTACCTGCATTTTTGTAAGAAATTTCTTGCAAAAGGGGAAAAAAAGAAGAATCAAATGCATATTTTTTTCTCTCTTTTTTAAAAATTTCATACATGTGGGGAAAGCTTCATTAAATAAAAATCTGTCTCAGGCATTTTTTCATTAGATGAATCAGGATTTCTGTAGAAACGAATTATTTTTTCCTGTTCAAAGCAACGACAACAACAAACTCCGCAGCAAAGAAAAGGCTGGCTGCCACCGAGACCTTTTTTTGATAGAAAATACGCCTGCAGCTCTGCTGCTTAATCAGTTTGGRGCAGAGCGTAGCCTGTAGCTTGTTAATAAGTGCAGCCGGCCTGCGTGGGTCGCACAGTGGAGAGCTGCAGAGGAGCCTTGCTGCATAGCCCGAGACTTCATTTTGCAGCTCTGTTCATTAAAACATATTTTGCTTTGAAGGACTTGATTTTACTGTTTTCCATGGAGGTGAGCAGAAAATTATTCTCTTGGCTAGATTAAAAAAAAAAAGAGAGAGAGAGACTTGAAGTATTTGCAGCTTAATGTTGTTTGAAGGGCAAACTCTTATTTAGCCAAACAATGTGCAGTCTCTTGTTTTTATTTGTTTTCAGTCCTTGTATAAAGGCTGGTTTACGAGTCTGAATATCTTGGCTGTTTTAATAATATCAAACTGGATTTTTCACCTACTGGCTGCCAGATTGGGTCAGAAAAGTTGTCACAMACTTTTGTTTAATTGCTAAAGTAATTTTTACTTATATAACTGCACACTAAAATAATAAGACCTGAAATGGTGCCATTGAGATTAATGACAAAACCCTCATAGGTTTCAAATCAAGCCTGTATTTTTATTATCCCAGCTCCAGAGACCTTTGTTGCAAGTTTGCAACAAAACGTTAGGGCATTCCGAAGTGTTATTTTTATTATACAAAATCCCATTAAAATCAGCGCTGAAGCATCCTATTAATTTAAATGGGACTTTGCATAGTTTGCTGCGTTCCAGGCCACAGATAAAGGCAAGTATGCAGCTCCGAGTTAAACTGACCACAGCTTTTTATTGCGAGATATTTAATCTTGAATGAGCAGCACCGTCTGAGGCAGGAAAACCTTTTGTGAGCTTCACTCGGGCCGGGATGCAATGGGAAAGGCCACGGTGTGGGCTCCGTATGGGACCTTGGGAGAGCGCACAGGGCTCCCGGGCAATTCCATAGCCTGGAGTGGATGGAAAAATGCACTCCAGCTATTCCAATGCCTCAGAAGGGATGCTGGCCTTGATGGCCAGAAGASCAGGAGCTGGTCCAGGGCCAGGGCACCTTGAGGAGGGCAGAGGGCCACCAAGGTGGAGCCACGATGGGTCTAAAGCGATGCCACCGCAGAACTCCCTGCTTGAGCTCCATGCTTTGGAAAAGCTCTCGCAAAAGTTCCGCTGTGTGGAAATACCATGGAGCCAATGGCCACGGTGGTTCCAAAACTCCTGAGCAGCTGGTTTATACCTGGGACCTCCCTTTTGGGGCTCCAGAGCAGGCAATAGCAGAGCCTGGGTGACCTCCGGTGCGGTGCGGAGTGGGTCTCCAGCGCACACCGAGGCCGGAGGGGGTGGATTYGGCTCCCAGCATCTCCTGGAGGGAGTCGGGCTTAGGCAGTGTGGTGCCAAGCCTTGCTCCAAGCAGCCCGGAGTGTCCAGGCTCAAAGCAGAGAGGAGACTGAGAGCGTTTGCAAGGAGGATGCACCCAAAGAGTGTGGAAAAGGTGCCGATGTCGCTCTCTTTCAGCATTTCCTAGGAGTTCTGCTTCCCCTGAGCCATAAATGTGTCGAGATGCCCAAATTTCACTGGCACCCCTGGACTGCAGCGCTGGCAGGGGCTCGGGGGGGTCGGGACTCACGTTTCAGACCCATGGCGGGATTTGGTTAAACACGAGAGCTGCACTCGTGGCTCCACAGCGGGACTAACGGTGCTGCCTGCAGAAACGCGGGGAAAACGGGAAAGCCGGGGTAAAATAACAGCGTGGGGCATTTGGATGGAAACCGTATGGAAAACGGGGGGGAAGAAACAGGGATTTCCTGCTCTATGTATGTTCCTGTAAGCCCCCTCAGTGACAATGTAGCAGAGCAGGCTCTGAGCACCTCGTGCCGAGCTCCGCTTTGGGGAGAGGGGAAAAACAGCCCCCGCAAACCTCAAAACAGCCAAGCAGCGCCCCGGGAATGGGGCCCCCTGCAAAATCTCCGTGCCCAGGGGTCCCTGGGGCTCCGGCGGCCCCGAAAGGCGCCGTGCGGGAGGGTGCGGGGCGCGGGGATCCCGCGGGCGCGCGCGGAGGCGGCGCCGGCAGCGGCTCCGCGCGCCGTCGGGGACCGCGGAGCCACCAGCTTCGCTCCGCGGGTTGGATTTTGTTGCCGCTGCTGCTGTTGTTTTTCTCCACAAAATAATGTTAATCACAACAAATAATTCTTATTAATAAATAGCAAATAAGATATAAAATAATAATTATTATTAATAACAAATAATAAACGATCAGCGTCGTTGAAGCTTGTAAATGGATTTAAAAAAAAAAAAAAAAAGAAAAGAAAAGAAAAGAAATCGTTAAATCGAGACCATCACGCTGGGCCCGATTTGCGGCTTGCGCGGAGGAGAGAGGGAAAACTGCGCCGAAACTCCGCGATCGGGAACTCCTGCAGAAGGAATGGGGCTGAAACGCGCGGAGGGAGTGCGGAGCCGCGGGGTAGCTATTTTGGGGGGAGAGGGTGGAAAAAAAGTACTTTTTTCTTTTTTTTTTTTTCATCCCACGATTATCACTGTTATTATTTAGTCTCCGCTCTAAGATCCGTCCCCGCCGCTGCCGGCCGCGCAGGGCCCGCGGGCGAGCGAAAGGGCTGCGGGTGCACAGCAAAATAAACCCTTTTGCTTCCGACAGAGCCGATCTCTTAACCGCAGTTACGCAAAGAAACATTAAAGAACATCTATTTATTTCGTTTTTTCTTTTTTTTTTATTCCCATGCTCTTAATTTTGAAAAAAAAAAATTCACAAAACATAACTTATAAAACAATATATACTGCATCCTTATCCACAACAGCATAACTGAAACATCCAGCGTAACGTTTACCACAGGTGTGAAATACACTGGGAAAGAAGTACCGTGTGCATTTTATATTATGTTTCTTTGTCATCTACAGGTAATAAGTATCGACAAAAAATAAGCAACAAATATGCCTGCARTTAAACTTCATATGCGTTTTGTATGCGTATTAATAAAGTTCATATTTATCATTTCCATTTTTTTTGCCAACAAGCACTTGTTAAAGTATCTACATTTACATAATAACACCTTAAGATAATAACACCTTAAGATTCTTTTTTTTTTTTTTTTTGGTTCCTTGTTTTTCCTTCACAGCTAGAAAACCAAGGAACCCTTGGAGCTTTGCTAAGCAACCTTTCCGGACGCCGAGGCTCGCCGTTTCTCTAGCGGAGATGCAGTATCAGGATTCACTTCATAGCAGACCATTTTAAGTCTTTTATTTTCTTCTAAACTCTAAAAGTTTTCTCTTTTTTTTTTTTCTTTTTTTTTCTTTTCTTTTTAGGAACCCCCTCCCCCGCATTTAAATAAAGATGAATGATAATTTCATTATCAGGATAAGATTTTGGGTGAGGAAAATGTTGAGCAGTAGAGTCTTTTGTTGTTGATGTTGGGGTTTTTTTGTTTGTTTGTTTGGTTTTTTTTTTTTTCATCGCTGTAGGATATTTGTGCTAGTCTCACAACCGGGGATACTGCAGTCTTTTGGAAAGGATGAAGAGGTAGGAACCTTGAGCTGCTTAATATCAGGAATGACTGGATTATAGCTTCCAACTAAAGAAAAAAAAAGAACATCAAGAATCATGCATTTTAAAAACAGTTTATTCAACGGCCAAGGACAATGATCCGGCACAATGTAACGGCAGATATAAATATAACCTTATATAAGTGGTTGACCCTTGTCATTATTATTTTTAATAGTTTCATACCTAATATTTTAACCGTTTCTTTTTTGTTCCCCGCAGAATCTGTTCCGCGGWTTATTTTTTTTCCTCCCTTCTTTTATTTTTCGCGTGTGTTTCTGTTTCTCAGTGGTAAACATTAACCAAACTCTTCCCGTGCGACAAGCGGCCAAGAAGCGTCCCACCAGCTCTCACCACCGAGGCGTCCCCCTCCCTCGCCCCTCTCCTCGCGGGGAAGTGGGCGCGTTGAGAAAAAAAAAAAAAGAAAAAAAAAAGAAAAAGAAAAGGAAAATAACTCCTGTGCAAGTTCAAGTAAACACATACAACCCGCATAATCCAGAGAAAAATTGCAACTCATCCATGTACCAGATTTCGGTTGTCTCTTGCAAAAAGATTTCTGGTCCGTTTACGGTGTTTTTTTTTTTTTATGTTTTAATTTAAAAAAAGGCTTTCCTGATGGTTGTGTTGGTTGAAATTATTATTTTTTTTCTTTTCTAGGCAATCGAAATCCGCGAAACTTTGGGGGAGATTATGTTTATCTTTTTTTTTTTCGTTCTTTTTTGTTTTGTTTGCTCTCTCGCTTGCTCGGGTTCTGCTCTCCTCCTCCTCCTCCTCCTCCTCCTCGTCTCTCTTTCTCGGGGGTGCCGTGTCTGTGCGTGCGCGGCGCAGCGCGGCCGCGGGCCCGTCAGCTGTTGTACTGGCAGGCGTTGAGGCCGGAGCCGGGGCTCTGCAAACTGCTGTAGCCGAAACTCGAGTGCTGCTTTGATTTCAGTCTGAGGCTCGCTAAACTGGAGTTGCAAGTGTCCCGGTAGACGCTGTAGGGCGAGCCCGGCGGCCCGTAGGGACACGCCGGCGACGACATGGCCGAGTTGAGCGAGGAGCCGCCGAGGTTGTTGATGTTGTTGAGGCCGGAGTTGGCCATGGCCGGCACGGCCGAGTGGCCCATGCCGGAGGGCATGTTCATGGAGGAGATGCTGCTGGGCGCCGAGAACATGGACTGCGAGGACAGGGGGCTCATGGAGTTGAAGAAGGTGAAGCTCTTGGTGGAGAGCGGCGCCGGCGTGAGGCTCTTGGTGGCCCAGTTGTTGTAGGGGTAGCCCGCGTAGACGTCGTCGTAGGGCTGCATGAGCCCGCTGAACTGCGGCACGTAGCCGTTCTTGCACAGGTCCATCTGCTGGTTCCGCTCCCGCTTCCGCCACTTGGCTCGACGGTTCTTGAACCAGACCTGTGGGGCACGGACACGGCCGGTGAGTGCGGAACCCCCCCCTCTTCTATCCCCTCCCCTCCCCGCGGCCGCGCAGCGCGCGCGGAACGAACCGCGCACAGGAGCGCGCAAAGGGGCTCGGGGCTTGCTGGACCCGAACGGCACCGGGCGCAGGGAAGAGACCGGGATAAGGATGCGATGGGCTTGCGCGCATTTCTGCGCGCATCTCTTTGCGCGCATCCACCCTCTGTGCGCTCATCTGTCCCTCGTGCGCGCCGTGCGAAGGGTGCGCGTGTGCGCAGCGCAGCGCGGAGCTGCTTCCTGCGCTCCCCATTCGCCCAAGGCAGGAGCGGGGCGAAGCGGCGGCCCGCGCGGATTTAGGGCCGGYGCGGCCCGGCTCCTTCGCGTTTCCCCATGTTAATGCCGTGTAATAAAAGTCCCCTGTTACAGATCATAAAAAGGGGGATTGGATTAGTATGTTTAGGTTAAAAAAAAAAAATCCCTGCGTCGCCCTTGGATGGATGCAACCTCTGCCTTTATATCTAATGAGAATTTACAGCCCTGCGCAGGGAACAGAGAAGCAGGGGCCGCTCCTGGTGTTTGATGCAAAACCCGATCCCGGCTCAGCCACACTCTGCCCCTCTCTCCCCCCTTTTCTTTCCTTCTTAGTTTCCTTTCTTCCTTTTTATTTTTTTTCCATTGGAAAAAGTTTGAATTCCTTGTGCTGGAAGCCCCGAACGGGAGAAAAAAAAAGCCCCCAGTCTCCCTTTTCAGATTAAATATATATATATAAAAAATATAAATATATGTAAATATATATATATTATATATTTACATATATAGAACATCGCCCTGGCCAATGGCTCCGCGCTACCTGTATTGCCTCGTGCACGGACCCGCGCTGCAGCAGCGCARCTGTTAGTGAAACCCAGTCCTGGACTTTCGGAACCGTTGAGGGAAAGAATGGCGGGGTCTATTGGAAATAATAATAATAACGGGGAGGGGGGGAGATCCCATATAAATATGAAGAGGAAACGAAAGCCAACATGTTCAAAACCTGTAATTCACTCCTCGGAAGGTGCTTCCAGACAGGAATTTCCTGAAAATGAGGGTAATAGTTTTAATTATGGCTCCTAGACATTTTAAAGTAAGGCCCTCAAAGCAAATCAAGGTTAGATTTGCAAGCTGCAATCTCGGAACATCAAACCAAAACATCTCCATGCCGAGGGAGAACGAAATAATGGTAATGGCAACTCGTATATTAGTTTTATTTGCTTCCTGAAGTATTCCAGCGATATGAAGGCAGTTCAGCCCTCTGCCTGGCTTTGTTTTTGCTTTAAGTGCAATTAAGCCGGGGCTTTCAGGCGCAGCCGCTGTTTGCTCCGCCGAGCTTCACGGCGCGATGTCTGCTTGGGTCACTCGCCGTTTAATTGCCAAGGCACAAGTGGCCTTTTTGCAGCTGCGAGGTTGCCCGCGGAGCTGCCCCGGCACCCGCGGAAAGGCCGCGGGTGGGAAGCCGGGGAGGGCACGGGGAAAAACAAAGCCCGAGGGGAAAAAATCTCAGGCTCCCTCCAGCCCCAGTGGCTCTGATCCGGCCGCGCTGCGGAGATAGCGCGCTCAAATCTCCCTCTGCAAACAACCGTCGCGCCTATATCTCTATACACACACTTAAATAAAGATATGTATACTCCGAAGTGGCCCCAACACGGCCAGACGAGGCACCTTCGCTCCCAACTGTGCGCCCACCCCGTTTATTGACTTTGCGCCTTGTCCTGCAGTCTGTCCTGGCGGTGCCCGGCCGCGGGGCGCGCAGGATGCGCGGGGTCTGCCCGGCGATGCGCTGTCGGCCTTGCAGACGGGCTCGCGCAATGACCGCGGGCGCGCTGAGCTGCGGTGCAGCCGCGACCATCAGCGCGGGAAGCTACAGTTTTATAAAAATACTATTCCTATCATCAAAGTAGTATTATAGCTTTGCAAATGAAATAAAACTCCGAGCGTCCCGGCTCTGCTCGCAACCCCCCGCCGGCTCCCAAGGGGGGCTATTCCCGCTTCGAGACCCCGATCCCCGCCAGATGCGGCGGGGCCGCGGAGCGGGCAGCCCCGCACCCCTCTTACCCGCACTCTGGGCTCCGTGAGGTTGGTCCACACGGCGATCTCCTCCCGCATGCTCATGTCCGGGTAGCGGTTCCTCTGGAAAGTGGCCTCCAGCTCCTGCAGCTGCTGGCTCGTGAAGTGGGTCCGTTGCCGCCGCTGCTTCTTCTTCTTGGCCGGGTCGTCGGCGGCCCCGTCCTCGTTTTTCTGCTCTCCGCTCCGCTCCTTTTCTGTGGTGGACGGTGTTGATTTTTTAATTTTGCCTTTTTTTTTTTTTTTTTCCCAGCTCTCCGTCCGCCTCGCCGCAAGGACACGCGGGGTGGGGGGGGAGGCAGTGGGGGGCCCACGCGCGTCGCCGGCTCTTCCCGGTCCTGGTCGGCCCGGCCCGACCCGGAGCATTGGCTGTGCGATTCCCGGCCCGAAAAGCAGAGAGGGGCGAGGACAGGCGCAGAGGGAGCAGGTCCCCTGGTGTATCGGCCTGTCCTCCCCTTCCCGGCTCCATTATTATTATTATTATTATTATTATTATTATTATTATTATTATTATTATTATTATTATTATTATTATTATTATTATTATTATTATTATCTCCCCCTTTAAACCTACGGTGCGATCTTTGCTCCATCGTCTTTATTGTGTTCCGCCGCGGCAGGAAACTTTGGGAGAACAGAGGGATAAAACTCAAACAGTAGCTATTTGCAAAAGGCTCTCTCTAACTCTGTGTAAAAAATATATTTTTCTTTGCTTTCTTTTTGCTTTGCTTTTAGGATTTTCGTGTTTATTCTAACGCGAAGCTGCGCGAAATCCTTCGAGAGAAAGAAAAAAAAAAAAAAAAGAAAGAAARACATCGAAAGAACTAAAAGGAAAAAAAAAACACGGCCGCGTTTTAGTGATCGGGATTTGCAAGGACTGCAGGCAGCAATCGATTCCCAACTCTGCAGCAACTGTAGGGAGAAAAAAGTTGTATTTTGCAGGAACCCTCCCACGTCTCCTGACCCAAATCGCGCTGGTTTGAGCGCCCGGGAAGGAACGGGAAGGCCTGGTCGAAACGCGCCCGCCTGGGCCCGGCTGCGGCTGTAGCGGGCCCGGGGTCCGCCTGGGCCCGGCTGCTGCCCCCTGCGCAGCCCCGAGGCCGCGGTGCCCGGCGCTGGGGCGGTTCTGCAGCTGCCACCTCGGCGAGGGCGCCGGGAGCCCGAATGGGCCGCGGCGCGGGGGGTCTCGTCCTTGCACTGTCGCCCCTGAAGCGGCCTTTGCCTGGGAGCCTCCCTAAGGAAAGGGAGGGCGAGGGGCGCTCCGAGACTAAACTCCCCAAGCGCAAAGGGCCGCCCGGCTGGCCCCTCTCCGCAGTTTGCAGAGCAAACAAGGCCGGCGGTAAAACCCAAACCTGGGATCCGCCTGCGGTCCCGATCCTGCCCGGCGGCCCAGCCTTGCAGCCTCTGCACCGGCCGAGCCCGCGCAAACAGAAACTGAAGGTGCTCTCAGAAAATAAAATAGAATATTATTCAGAACTCTTTTTTTCCCTCCTTTTTTCCCACCTCCTTTTTCTTTTTTTTTCTTTCCTTCCTTTCTCTCTCTTTCTTTTTTTTTTTTTTCTTTTTCTTTCTTTCTTTCTTTTTTTTTTTTTTTTTGGCAGGGAAAGTCTCGGCGAAATTGGACAAGGGGGAGCAGAGGAGGGAGGCGAAGGCGCTGAGGCCGCCAGTGCGAATCCATTCAGGCGTCTGTAACCCCCTCTCCGGGTTTTGCCCGCCAAGATTTCCTTAAAAATCAAACCAGTGAGCAGCGCTCCGGTACAATTTCGAATCATAACACACGTAGGATTTAATCGGCATTTGCCACTTTTGTTTTGTTTTGCCTTTCATTAAAAAAAAAAAAAAAAAAAAGGAAAAGAAAAGAAAATAAAATCAGAAAGGTATTTTATGTCTTGTCGAGGTAGAAAAGTAGGCAGGTCTTTAGCCCTCCTCCAGCACGGAGGGGTCACATATAGGGGGTACGGCAAAATGGAGCAAATCTCCCTCTCTAATCTCCAATAATCCCCTCTAATCTCGGAGCCCTTTGCAGGCTGCGGGCTGAGCGCTCCCGAATTTTGTTTGCGAATCAGCTCAGAGCCTGTTTATCACCGGGTGCCACTTTGGGATTGACTCGTGTTGCGGCCACTCTAGAGATTACAGGACCTGCTCAAACTGAGAACAACAACACCTATATCTCTATATAAATACATATATAGATAGAGATATGCGCGCCTCCCGCCAGCGCCGGCGGGGCGCAGACATCGCGCTCTTCCCTGCAGCTTTTGTTTCCTCCTCGCAGCCTGCCCTGTCATCCCAGAAATGCTGCCGCTCTAATGAAACACAAACTGGGAAACCGCAGCTTTCCCTGCGCTAACTGCGCGCCCCGTCCGCGGGTACGGGCGCGGGAGCCCGCGGCCCCCTGCGCGCCCCTCCGCGCATCGCTCCCTCCGCCGCGGCCCTGGCTGCTTGCGCCGGCCCGCGCCGCCTCTCCTCCTCCGCACGGCATTTTATTTAATTAATTATTTTTAATTAAATCTTATTTTAGTTTCTCTTCTGCCCTCCTTTGACAGGGAGATCTTAATTTTACACTCCTGCACCTCCCGAGCTAGAAAACAAACCCGAGCAAAAGCTATTTCGGAAACATCCGGCAAAACCACAGCCCCCCACCCCCTTTCCCTTCTCCCCGATCGATTATTATCTGATAAAAAAAAAAAAAAAAAAAAAAAAAAAGCCGCTGCGGGGCTGGGGCGCGCAACATGTGTCCCTGCTCCGCGGCTGTCAGCGCGGGGCTCGGCTGCTCCCCGCGCCCCCCTCTCTCTTTCCCCCATCCCGCCCCCCCCCTCCGCTCCGACTCCAATTAATTGCGCTCATTAGGGACGGAGCCGGTGGCTGCTGCTCCCCCGGCGCCGCGGGGCAGCGGTGAGGGGCGGGGGGGCGGGTGGTTACCTGGCACCTCCGCGTCCGAGGATTCACTGGCCGAGTTCTCGATGGGGTCCCTGGGCTCCGCGGCTCTCTGCAAATGGAAGCTGGAAGCCATGTCATGGGCGGGCTGGGGTCGCAAGCTCTCGGGCAGCCTCTCCAAATTCATTCCACCTTTAAAGGACTCCATGGCCGGGGCGCCGGGCTGCCTGGGGGATTTTGCAGGTGTTTATTCCACACGGGAAGCAACGAGGAGCGCGCTATTTTTTTTTTTTTTTTTGATTTTGAAAAGAAAAAAAAAACAACGAAAACAAAAGCAAATCCACTTATTACTAACAGAATGATTTTAAGGGTCTCGGAAGAAGCGATGCGGGCAGTGCCTCGGAGCCGCTTGTCTCTGCTCGGGGAGAGGCGCAGCCGGCCGGCCGCATAGGCAGGGAAGTGGYAAAGCTCCCTTATAGAGAAACGCGAGTTGCGAGTTGGACAGTTTAAAGCTAAAGAGATTAAAGTGACCTGCCCTAGAACAAATGCCTGTAGTTAAACGCGGCTCCTCCCCCTGAAGGTTAAAACCTCCCCGTCTCGCTAATGCATCACTCCATCTAGCGCTCGCCCAGCCCGGCCGCGGGCGGACCTGCCTCCCCTCCGCGCCCGCCGTCGAGGTGCGCGGCTTGCGCGCCCGCGCAGCGGCCCCCCAGCCAGCCCCGGCCCGCGGGCGCCGGCCCTTCTGTGCAGGGCCCCCCCGCCCTCCCCCTCCCGACTCGGCGATTTTTGAATTTTAAAAAATATTTCAGAAACGAATGAAAAGAAAAAAAAACCACCCCCTCCGCTCACAATTTTTCCCTGGCCTTACTGGTGTATTTTTCCTCTGGGAGATGCGCGGATAGGGGATTAACCTCCCCCGCCCCTCCGCCCCCCGCCCTTTGTCCGTTCCCGCGCAATTTGCGCCCCGGCGCAGCGTGGAGCGCATCCTCCTCGCGCGGGCTCCCGCGCCCCGCGCAGCCACCCGCCCCAGCGCTACCCAAGCGCGGGGTCCAGCCCCGCATTCCCCCGAGCTCTAGGGAATTTGTTCTCCGGATGCCYCCTGGGATTTGTGTGACCTGCGTTTATTTTATTTTTTTATACGTATATACAAGCACATAAATATATACGTATACACACCATATATATTCACTGACCATTATATACATATGTAATTATACATATATAACGATAAGTATGTATACAACTGTATATGTATGTATATATATAAATATATAATCACAATTATATATCTCTATTCGGTGACGGATTAATAACGCGAGTATTTCGGAGGCCTGGCCTGGGCGGATGCTCCGCTCGCAGAGACCCAACGAGATTTGGGCCAGAGCAGCAGGCGCGGCGCAAACGCTCCCATCACATCAGCTTTCAGCACGTTATTAATAACGAATAATTTCCCTCCCGCAGCGAACTCCTGGTGACCCTCGGAAGGAGCTGCGGCTCCGCGGCCCTGGGAGCCTTTTGGAGAGCGTGAGGGTCGGGGCGATGTGAGGAAGGGCCCGGGAGAGGCATCTCCCACCGCCTGCCCCTGCCAWCCCCCCAAGTCCGGGCAGCCCGTGCGGGACCGTCCGGGGGCGGCTCTGGGGCCTTGTCCCCTTGCAGTGACCCGGGGGGCCCGGCCAGGTGTGTCCTATGGGAAGCTGGGACGCCAGTGGGAAGCAAGGAGGGTAAAACAGGGCCGTCCCGCGGGTGCCCAGCGCTCTGCGCGCAGGCCGTCGTTACCGCTGGCATTTGGGGCACTTAGGAAACACCTTGGCGTTTCGGGGAATAAAAATAAGAATAAAAAAGAACAGAACTCCAAGGAACTGCTTGGCTCGGAGCTTTGCACCTGGGCAAACGGCGGGGAAAGAGGCCCGACTCCACGTGGGAAGGGCGGATCCACAGAGCCTCGCGTGGGAAACGCGCCCGCTGTGCGGGTACGAGCGCCCCGCGGCCCCGCGTGCCGGCGAGGGGGGGGAGTGGGAGAGGCCCTGGGTGTAACTATTCCTGCAAAAGGACCTTTTCCCTCTTTATTTTCTCTGCTCGCTCTCGCCGATCCATCCTGACACTCTATTTTGCTTTCAAATCAAGTAAAGATGTGGGAGAGAACTTTTGAACTGTTCCATGGAAAGTGGACGGCAGCAGCGCTCCCGCTCCGCAGCCTTTTTCCGACACGAGGCAGGGATGGGAGCGGGGGGGATTTATCCGGACTCCCCCGGCTAGTACCGGGGCTCATCGAGACCCCAGGGGGGACTGCAGTAGGAGAGACCCTTGCTGACACCCCAAACACCCATGGGCTCCCACTCCGCCCTTCTGAGCTTCTCTTCTGTAGCAATTAAGTGTGGCGGCAGGTAGGTGCTGCCATCCCAAAATCTCTTTTATTTGTTCTTTGTTTATTTATTTATTTTGAGTGGCAAATTCATACCCAAGTGGCCGTCCCCAGCTCTGCGATGGGGTCCCCGCTCAGGACTGTCGATGAAGGGGAATTTCGGGCACGGGGGATGATCTGGGCCCAGACCTGTTATTAGCCTTCTCCCCAGTTCCTGCACCCCGGGTTGCGGGGAGGGGGCAGCTCTGTGGGGCCCCAGGGCCCGAGCGGGARCCGCAAGGGAGCCGTCGTGGAAGGGCAGCTCGAACAGCAGCGCTCTTATAATCCAGCTATCTTAAACCTACTGTTTAGAGCAGCCCTAAAACTGGAGGCGGCATTTTTTTTTTTTTTTAATTCTCCTAATGCGCCTAATTTACAGTCTTTGTTCTGCTCTATAAAACATATTTTGAAAATTCGTTCTAGGCTTCAGCTCTGCTCCAGCGACTCTAGGAAAGGCTCAGCCCTGGGCGCTAGGAAAGCTCAACCCGGGGCAAAGTTACATTTGCAACAGCGGCCGATCCAGCCCCCTCCCCAGCAGGAGGGACCCCCTGGTCTTTCTGGGGGTCCCCAAGGTTCGGACCCAGCCCCGTGTCCCTGCCCTAGTCGGGTCCCTGGAGCTGCAGGTTCGAGACCCGCCGGGGCACGATCGGAGGGGGACGCTCCTGGTGGGGACAAAACTGCTACGGGAACTGCTCTTGATTAAGGGACATGAAGAGAAGGTGGGAAATAACGGGCCAGTCTTAACGATCCCGGGCGTCTGCAGTGGGTCACGGGAGKGGGGACAGGTCAGGGCCCTTCCCCGGCCCATTCCGGGCACTTAGGGCTGGTAGCACCCGGCTGCCTCCAGCACCCACGCGTGTCCGCACCTGGGCCGAAGGCGCCGTGTCGTGCAGGTTCCGTGCACCCGCGTGGTTCTCCACATATATCTATATGTGTGTGCACATGTGTATGTTTGTATATGTGTATCAGGGCATCTTGCTCTGCACCTTGTAMGAAGCAAAACCAGACGGGCTTTACCTGCGGCTTGTCACGACTACTCGTATCGTGACAACACGTGGAGGGGGATGGGAGGAGGAGGATTTGTGCCTGGTGTCGGGAGCGCTCCGCGTCCCGCGTGGGGTTTCGGGCCACGAGGAGAAAASGTGCTGGGAGCCGCAACCCCTCCGGACACCAGGCGTTGCGTCACGGGCTCCCCCKCATGACGTCACGGCTGTCTGCTCCCCTGACGTGATGCCGTCGAGCCAGGGCTTGTCCAAGGCAGCCCGGGACTGCTCCCGGGGCCTGGGCTTCTCTCCCGCTTTCCCGGCCTGTCCCAGCGGGACGGAGGCAATTGGGAAAAGGGAGCAGAGGCTGCATAGCGCGGGGGGCTTGCGAATCCCCGCGGGCCGCGTCCGGCTGGTCCCCTCTTGTCTTTGGGGCGCTCCAGGTGTGAGCTCCCKCCAGCAGGTAACTCGGCAGCTCGAGGGTGCCCTTCAAGCAGAGCCCCCGTCCCACATCGGCCCCTCAGGTGGCGGCTAAAGCGCTGAAAGAGCAGGGAAAGCGCTCGCAGGGCTCGGGGAAAAGCCGGAGACACCAGATAAACCCCTCCGCTTCCGCCCGCCGTAAATAACGCGGCATCGAGGGCCGGCGCCGGTAAATAAATCAGCGCTGGCCACGCCAGTGACAACGCCGTTAAGAAGACGAGCAACGTCTACATTAAGGGAGGATTTGCAGCGTCTCCCGGAGCGCCGGGCGCTCCTCAGGCCCTCGGGCAGCCCCGTGTTTGCTGAGGTGGCAAGTGGCACCCGCAGTGCCCGGGCTGAGCCCCGGCCCTGGGACAAGCCCTGGACGGAGGGTGCCGAGRGAGCCTCTCGGGCCACCTCTCGGACGCCTGGGCTCTCGTGGGACCGRGAAAGGGGGTTTCTGCTTTTGGAAGGGAGTTCCCATCCCCGACCGGCTTCGGCATCTGCAGCCAGCACAAAACCACCTGGGCCATATATCAGGCAGCAAAGTTAAGTCTCTGCCAGCTTTTCCTCTTCAAATTTATTAGCATTGTATAGACTCAGATTCAGTCTATAAATTATCGGGAATTGTTACGAAAACGAAAGCATCTCCTCTCGAGTCCACCCCCACCCGAGAGAAAAGGGAAACCCTCTGAGAAAGAGCTGCAGTGAGATACRGGGAGAGGCTCCTCAAGCAAGAGCAACCCAACCCAACCCAAACAAACCAAACCCAACTCAACGCAATCAAATTCAATACAACTAGACTCAACCCAACCCGAATCAACTCAATCCATTCAACACAACCCGGTCCGTCTCAACGAAGCCAAATCAAACCAACTCAAACGATTCCAAAACAAATCAAACCAAGTCAAAATGAATCTAAAGCAAATCAAATGAAGCGGACCAAGCTGAACCAAACTCAAGTGAAGCAAAGCCAACCTTGCCTGGCAGCAGAGGAGTGAGGGATCTCTTTGCCCTGTTATCATGGGAGATCTGTCGCCCTGGTATGGAAGGGGATCGGCCCGTTGGCAGGACCAGACGGTGGAAAACGTTGTCCTTGCAGAAAAGGGGGGCTTGGGGCACGAGAAACCTTTCTGGATGCACCGAGATTTGCATGCAGCTCCATGTCCTGTGACACGGCCTTGCCTCTGTCCCAGCGGGGTCAGCCCGACCAGAACTTGCTGCAGAAAAAAAAAAAAAAAAAAAAAAAAAAAAAGGAGTTTTAATAACTAAATCCTCCTGAAAGAGTGGGGCTGGGGGTATGTGTGGGCTCGGGAAAGGGGGAATCGTTGGAAGCAGGAAAACCGGACGGGGACGGGGAAGCAGCCCGGGTGAGGAGGTATTCTGAAAGCTTCAGCCTCTGGAAATGTCCCTTGCGCGGGCAGTGGCAGTTTGGCCTCTCGCCGCTGCCGCCGGGCCTGGCTCGGCAGCTGCTCCGGCCCCGGCTCTGCGCGGCTCTGGCCCAGGCGGGCCCGGACCAGCGGGCGCCCATCGAGGGCCCGTCGGGGCGGCCATGAGGGGACACTTTCACCATTGAGAAACGGAGAACTCCCAAGTGACGGCGACAACAAGAGTTGGGACCTC